GGGTTTGACTTGACCTCGCGTGCAACCAGCCTTTGGAACTCCTTTTCAGCCCTCCTACACTCTATCTTTGCTTGGTTTCTGGCTCTTGCATACATCCTCCTGTCTTGCTCATCGTTTGACCCAACCCACGTCTTGAATTTCTGGGTTTTCTTCTTAATTTTGTCGACCGCCGCATGGTTCATGTGTAGGGATCCCCTCGTATTCCTAGAAGCACTGGGTTTGGTCTTGGGTATATATTTATCGATCAAATGGGTCATTTTACTAGTTATGATATTCAGCGTAGTGTCTGCGTTCTTGTACCTTAATAAGTCAGGCCAGTTGATACCCCTCATCTCTTCCCTCATCCCATTGTAATTTCCCTTGTAATATTTGCACCTTGGCCTGGCCTTATCTTGAACTAGGTAACAGTTAAATCTGAATGACTACTCAGGGTCTTATTTTCTTCAGTTTTATATGTAGAACCAATCAGTCACTGGTTTCGTAAGCTTTAACATAAACAATGCCGGCAGCCGTCTCGTCTCCTCTAATATTCCACGTATTATTAATAAATTGTATTGTTAATTTTGCACACACGTACATTGATTCAATAAAACAAATTCAGAAACATTAATTAAAATATATATGAACAGTAAATAAGTGTTGCTTTCATATTCTTATGTAAAGTAATGACGATATGTTTTCACGTGTGCGCATGCGCACTTACATATGCGATCTCTCTTTTTCTTTACCATTATCGTTAGCTACTTCTATTGTTCCATTTATTAACATTAAATAACATTACTTAAAACAACCATATTAATTTTACTACAGCTACAACCATGGTCTTATTTTCTTCAGTTTTATATGTAGAACCAGTCAGTCACTGGTTTTGTAATCAACGAAAACAATGCTGTGTCATTTCCTCGTGTGTTTTAATATTCTACATATTATTAATGAATTGTATTGCTCATTTTGCACACATAAACATTAATTCAATAAAAAAGACATTCAGTAATAAACAACAATGAATCTTTTGTACATAAGAGAAATGACGCTGTTTACACGATTATGCACGTCGTCTGCACGTTGGCGGGCCGTTCAAACCCGTTGAAATTCAAGTTTCCGCCGTCAAAATTTTTATTTATTTATTTTTTTGTGTGTTCCAATAAAATACATTAAGAATTAAAAACTCGCAAAATTTGAGAAGCTACTATGCGACATTTAACCCTTCAATATGTCTTCAAAGAGACCATAACGCAGAGAAAGTGGTGCTAGTGCTTCCAGGCATAAGCACAAGTCACTATCTATCCAGGAAAAGGGTGAATTTCCATGGTCCGGCAATTTCCATGGTCCGGCAATTTCCATGGTCCGGCACCGGTCAGGTCCCGAGGTTGCCGGATTAGAGAGGTACAACCTGTATTAGTAATTTATAAGGACTGAGTCACATAGGTAATGCAGTTAATATTATTCTTTATAAGTAAGAATTATTTATTTGCTACATTGTACAGAAATTTATAACAATCTGATGTTGTGACTTCACTCTCCCTTCACTTGCTGAACAGAGGCCGGATACTCAAAAACATTTATGGGACTGTATGTCGTTGTGTAGCCCGTAACTGGACTTACAGTCTCAGATTGGCATACTCAAAACACAGATGGTATACTCAAAACAAATATTTGACATCGAACTCCGTAAGTTAACGCAAGTAACTTACATCAGCCCCTGAGGTTGTGTAACACTCTCAACCCGAATGTAGTAGTCACTAATTCCCGATTGTATAAAAAATAATAATAATATATGTTGTAATAATGCTTGTTAGACTTGTTTTATCATAGAATAATGAAGAAAATGTTTTGTACATCAACATACTGAAATATAATATTTCACTTTGTCTTTTTGGTAACTTTTTTGTTGTATAATAAGCGGCTTTGAGTGTTTGTATTTGTCTCAGTTTGGAAGAGACGCATCTTTTGTCTTCTTACAAATTATAAAGTATTTTTTACCAAAACAGAAGGTTTATATTGTTCACACTTAGGGTAAAAATATGTTTTATGACTGAGTAAACTTGCAGATAGAACTTATTAATGTTGTATAGCCAGAAATATCCCTCGGTAATGAAAGCCAAATATGAGGTCAAGTGAACATTCCTGCCAAGACTTCGCTTTGTTTTTCTAATATTCAACCAATAGCCTCAGCCTATTTTCTATGTATATGGCTTATGATAACATGAAAGGCTATAAATTTCCATAGGCTAGCCAAAATTAAATGATATTAGGCATAAAATATGGATTGCAATTACCTTGATTAATGGGGGCCTATATAACTGCTTTTTCAGTCTTTGGCCAATTAAAGGTTAAACGTGGGGCCTACTTAATTTAGTTAGAACATGAGGAATATTTAAATAAGAAATTATACCAATAGATTATAGGTTTGGTGTGGTTTGGTTATGTTATGGTATGTTAGGTTAGAGAATGTGTACATGGTTTTTTGGTGTGTGTCAGGCTGTCAGTGAGACACTTTGCCTAGCAGCTACCTTAGGCCTAGTTCCAGACTTTCCTTGAACAGTATCATAGGGTAGAGTATTAATTTAAGAAAATTTACGGCTAATCCGATATATTTTCATGTTTTAAATTGTTGTTTTTTGTATGAACTTGAAGACAAATTCAGACCAAATGACCCAAACATTGAAAGGAAAACACCATGTTCTAGGCTAAATGAGTAATTTAAGAGAAGTGATTTGTCATTTAGGTTAGGCAAGGTTATACTATCATTAACCAATTAATTTGAAATTGCCCAGAATAAGGCTATCTTATTATAGCTTATATGTCTTGTCACAGGCCAACATTAGGCCCGTGGTTATTTACCCAACTTCTATTATGGGTAAAACGCCCAATACTGTGTTATTGTAGGGTTACGTGATGTTGTCTCACACTCAGGATGGGTTGGAGAAAGGAAACTCTTAATGGTGGTTTCTTATATAAAATATATTATATACAAAACAGTCTGGTGCTGGGAAGTTGCTGCTTGGAAGAGGAGTTGCTGCATTGTAGAGTAATCACTACAAGATCTCGGTTAGCCGGAACAATTGGTAAAGAGCACTTCCGTGAATGAGAGTTTTCCCGTTAACGAGACGATTATCTCAAATCAAGAAAATATCCCTCGTCCCTCGAATTTTTATGGTAATGGAAGAATGTTCTCGGTAGTTCCTGAAATTGACCATTACATCATCTCTCGAACCCAGAAATATATCCCCCATCTCCGGAATTTTCTCGGTTATCTGGGAAGCTTTTCTCATAATTTTCAGGAAAATGTGCCCCTTTGAAAATCATTACCTAAGCCATAAGTTTCCTGCAAAATCATGCTTTGGGAATTAATTACGGCTTTCAGAAAGTTCCGGGTTTCAGGGATTCCGGCTAACGGAGATATTACTAACTAAGAAAATGAACACATGTCAAAAGACTCTGGCTCCTGAGAATGCTGCTGTTCCTACCAGAAAGCAGTTTCAAATGCGAGTATGTGACAGACAAGAGGCAAGAGGATATCTTTTAAATGCTTTTAACACTCTTATTTACTTTCATACTGAACAATTTTATTCATTTTTAAATGAGTGCAGAGATTTTAACACGCTGTGCATTTTTAAGTATTTTAACCCTAATGCCAGGCAAAACCTTAAGGCCGTAATTTTTTTTTCTTAGGCATAACCCTTCTTTTGTAGGCCTAATGATAAGACGTTGAATAAGTTAGTATCAACATAAAAACACTACTGTTTAATAATTATTTTTTATTGCAGTATAGAGGTAATGCCAATAAAGCATACATTGAATTAACTTTTATTTTCAATATACTGTACAGGTAGTTCTGCTATAACGCGATAATTGTGTTCTTGTAAAATATCGTGTTATGGAAAATCGCGTAATAGAAATAACAGGGCTTATGGATGTATAGATATGTACATACCAAGATATGTGAACACGCCTGACACCAGGACTCTTGTTACCATTCATTGTACCATTTATTCACATGTCTGTATTACTACATATTATTATAGCATGTCTGATGTCTATGCTTATGTCTAATGCCTATGTTCATTTACTATGTCCCGATGTACTATGTCTGTACCGCGCTAGTCGAGTAATTAGAAGACCTCATTTATTGTCCTAGGAATGTCTAGCAACTCCCCTTGCCTGGCTAGCTAATTTCCCTCAGATCGGCCTCGGCCTACCTACGGTCCGGGGTCCCTAGTAACAGGGAGGTGTATAGATATGTACATACCAAGATATGTGAACACGCCTGACACCAGGACTCTTGTTACCATTCATTGTACCATTTATTCACATGTCTGTATTACTACATATTATTATAGCATGTCTGATGTCTATGCTTATGTCTAATGCCTATGTTCATTTACTATGTCCCGATGTACTATGTCTGTACCGCGCTAGTCGAGTAATTAGAAGACCTCATTTATTGTCCTAGGAATGTCTAGCAACTCCCCTTGCCTGGCTAGCTAATTTCCCTCAGATCGGCCTCGGCCTACCTACGGTCCGGGGTCCCTAGTAATCGCTCCTGTATCGGTTGGCTATCACGCCCAGCCTTGTACCACTTATTGAATATATCTACTGCTCGTGCCCTGGAGTTTCAAGAACCTTGTCTAGGATTACATCCACCACACCACAATGGAGAAAATAGGGTTAGGTGCAGATTACTCGAAATCGAAAAAATTTAGTAGTTAGCCTAACACAAAGGATAGCACAGTCTAAATAAATGTTACATTCATATCTAATAATGAAATCATACAGTAAATTTAACACTTTACCTTGAAAAAATATGAATGTAACTTGATGGGGGAGAAGGGTGATTTTGAGGTTGATAACATCGAGCTTCTCTTCAAGTGTTATATCCTTTCTTTTACGATAATCACCGGGAATTCTATCATCAGAACGCTTTTTGGAGATATTCTTCTTTACCATATTCACAGTTAATACCACAAAATTGGAGAAATAGTAAGCAAAAATCGCGTTATAGCAAACAAGCGTTCGCGTTATACAAATATTGTTCCGAATTCATAAATCGCGTTAGAGCAAATTCGCGTTATCAAAACACGCGTTATAGCAGAACTCACTGTAGTTAGAGAATCCTCTTTCTCTTGAACGGTCCTAAACATAGATTCCTCGATGGAATGAATAGCCGTAAACCTAGCTCCTGAGGGTCCTGGGGTTTGTTCTCTTTCTTCTTCTGGAAAGAAGTGTATAATAGTTTGATTGAAGTCTATGTTAAGGGTATAATTAAAATATATAAATTTATAAAAAAATTTAGAAAAAAAATGGTCAGAAAAATAGTGTTGACCATCTAAAAATATTTGTATAAAATATTTTTATATGTAAACATAAGCTAAGCTAAACATAGTTACAATATTATAAATTGATTTAATTATAATATACGACATTTAGTTCCAGGCGTTAAATTTCTTATATTTGCTCTTCTCAATTTTTTCCATTAACATACGAGTTATAACAACATTTAATATCTAACTTAAGGAAGCAATACGCCAGCTATAAATTTAACTAACTTAATAATGTTGCTTATTTTTAAAAAAATATGCAAAAAAATAAGTATACTGTATTTCAAAAGTAAGATAATAGTGAAAAAATTGAACCAAAATTATTTTTGGAAATAAAAACAAGGACAGAAAAGAACAAAATATATCAGAGGGTTGGAAAAGTATGTTGAGTGAATTACCATCAATAAGTTCCTCACTTTACAAAATCGCTGGAATCCCATGTGTAAAGGCTGGATCTAAGAGTTGAAGAACTGCTTCGTCAATTGCAGTGTATGTACAGGGTATTTTCAATTTGGGGGCAGCCTCCTTCAAGAGAAAAAACAATAAAAACTTTCTTACTGTGAGCTGTGGTTACATACACTGTACACAACTATGTTATATATACACTAGTACTATGTTAGAAAGGAATCTATTGAAATAGTTCCAAACATTATAACCTAACCTATCATTGTAGCTGTAGTCCCCAAAATTCTCCTGTATCTTTGTCAAAAGTTAATTAAATTTACTGTAACAATCAATAAATGGTAAAATAAGTAAAAAATAATAATAGCAGCCAGAATTTTTCAACCTGTATTACTTGTAAATGCATAAGATAGAACATCATTGCCTATAAGCCTAACAAAGTAAGATTTGCATATTAATGTAGACCAAATATGAATTTAAATCATTTGATGACTCAAAATTAACGACATAAAAAAAACATGAGGAATTCTATAGTAAGCTACATATTATCACCTTCATTACCGTCAAAAATAACGTAATTACTAATAGGTAGTTTATAACAGTAACCAAACCTACCTAACCTAACTTCATTTCCAACGGGAGGCCTCCGCCACCCTGGACCACCCAGAAGAATATTAAATATCTCTGTTCCATGTCATTTACGACGCAATGATTAGTGTCATAAAATTGTCTCAACTACTGTATATGATAGGTATATTAAGCAAATCCAAAAATTGTGGGGCAAAAATTAGCAGTAATACCGACTAGCCTTTGGGTTCATTTATCGGCGGTACAGTTTTTACTATTTATTCACATGGCAAACTTCGAAGAACGGTGTTTCTTTTAATGAATGTGCTCATATAAGGAAAATATGTGCATTAATTCACGATGAAAAGCCACCATACACTACTACCTTGAGTTTACAATCACCTCAAATCATAGCAAGCCTCAGAAAAAACAGAGTTAAGTTTGTTTCATAGTGGCAATCAATACCTAGGCTAACAATATTATGACTTACCTGTTCCACCTGTATATTTATTATCTTACTTTTACTTTTTACTTTTATCCTCTTCGCCACTGATCAGCTCGCTAGGCGCCCGGGCGATCGGTCACGTCTCTGTCACATACTGTTGAGTGTTGTGCTGTTTTTTCTTAACGCTGACACGTAAATTGTTGGGCAGCCACAACATTCACTGCCTTTACTACTTACCAGGCATGATTCTTCAATTTGATTGTACATCTCGAGTCCAATTTCCCTAAAAATATTTTCTTTCTTTTGGCGACTTCACACACCATGGCGCATACTTCAGTCTCACTGAAATTTGGTCGTTTGTTCAGGTGGTTGTCCTTCCATCTTTTGTTTACAAACTAATATCACGTGCGTCGCTCTCAGCTGATTTCTCCTTCTCTTGTGATTGGTTGATGATTTTGTTAACTGAGCGCTCATTGGCCAACCAGCTCCTGCACTGACATCTACCTTCCGACAAGAGAACTTAATTTACAGGGTAAACACTAGAGTTATGAAAACTTACGAACGGCTTACGTAACTGTAATAAAATTTTGAGTATGCTAAATTTACGGTACTGTAAAGATTCGACAATATATGGTACTGTATCATGCTGAAAGACTTAACTTATGAGGTGTTTTGAGTATCCGGCCCCAGTTCTGTAGGATTTATTGCTCTTTGTGGAAAGTAATTTTTTCCTCCCAAAGTCTTGAGTAGGTGGGCACTTCCTTGACACTTGGAATGACACAAGGTAGCTCCTGCAAGATGCACATTATAAAATTGTTTCCACATTATTTCAGATATAAAGATGCGAGTGGATGGACATAAGAAAGATACAGGAGGCCACCCCACACAAACATCTCCCACCACAACACAAGATTAAAGCTGTATAAAACAGGAGGCAGAACAATTCCTCACAACTGTACAATAAGTCAGTACAGTATGAGGATTAGTGAACATCTTCAAAAGAACATTGTAAGCAAGATTAAGGTAAATTGTCAACTCTCCAAGTCTTAAGTTACAAATTTGAAAGGCAAGTTGGTGTTCTAGGAAACAGTGAGAATAAAAAGAACATTCACACAAGTGAATCTTCTCCTGAAAATACCAATTAAGTGGTGCACTGTGTTATATATTGTTTAAATACAGTATGATGAGGGTTGCAATGTTTCTACCTAAACAACTACCTTGTGACTCTTATGCCTGTGTACACTGCTGATAAACGTTCCATTATATAAATGCGACAAGTGTTTGTCTGCCGTGCTTGTATACTGGTGAGACAAAGTTCACTTGTAAATATTCCTCATACAATAGTGAGCTCAAGAACCACATACATGTGCAGAATTATTAATGCAAATTTAGCTGTGAAGAGTGGATAACTTTTTTATACAGTCAAAAGTTACCCAAAAGTGTGTACACTGAGGGAAATATTTTCTAGTATGGAGTGTTGTAAAGTTTGTAAAAGATGGCCCAGTTTATGAATCAAATAGCTGGACATGGTGGCCAAAATAATTATGAGTGTGTACAGTGTGGTGATTTATTTTACAGTAGTGATTCTCTGAAGATGCATACCTGTATGGCCGAACACATTGATGAGATAAATATTAAGTATGAAGAAGTTGATGAAAGTTTTAACAGTAACTTTGATGTGACACAACATGTGACTGTTGATGAGAAAGATATTAAGTGTGAAGAGTTTGATGAAAGTTTTAACAGTAACTATGATGTGACACAACATGTGACTGTTGATGAGAAAGATATTAAGTGTGAAGAGTTTGATGAAAGTTTTAACAGTAACTATGATGTAACACGACATGTGACTGTTGATGAGAAAACTCGTAAATGTCTGGAAAGTGGTAAAAGTTATAACCAAAAGGGACAACTAAAGGAACAAATAGTTGTACACACTGGTGAAAAGAATTTTAAGTGTGGAGAGTGTGGTAAAAGTTATTACAGGAAGAGCCATCTGAACAGCCATATGGTTGTACACACTGGTGAGAAGAATTTTAAGTGTGGAGAGTGTGGTAAAAGTTATTACAGGAAGAGCCATCTGAACAGCCATATGGTTGTACACACTGGTGAGAAGAATTTTAAGTGTGGAGAGTGTGGTAAAAGTTATCCCAGAAAGGGCGAACTGAAGAGCCATATGGTTGTACACACTGGTGAGAAGAATTTTAAGTGTGAAGAGTGTGGTAAAAGTTATTCCAGAAAGGGCGATCTGAAGAGCCATATGGTTGTACACACTGGTGAGAAGAATTTTAAGTGTGGAGAGTGTGGTAAAAGTTATCCCAGAAAGGGCGATCTGAAGAGCCATATGGTTGTACACACTGGTGAGAAGAATTTTAAGTGTGAAGAGTGTGGTAAAAGTTATTCCAGAAAGAGCTATCTGAAGAAGCATATGGTTGTACACACTGGTGAGAAGAATTTTAAGTGTGGAGAGTGTGGTAAAAGTTATCACAGAAAGGGCGAACTGAAGAGCCATATGGTTGTACACACTGGTGAGAAGAATTTTAAGTGTGAAGAGTGTGGTAAAAGTTATTACACTAAGATCCATCATCTGAAGAGCCATATATGGTTGCACATTAATTGGTATATGAATTTTAAGTGTGAGAGTGTGTGTGTTGATCAGCAGAAAGGGCGGAATGAAGAATATATGAAGCGTAATACCACTGGTGAGAAAGAATTTCAAGTGTAAGAGTGGTAAAAGCGGTTCCAGAAAGCCGCCATCTGAAAGAAGCATGGTTGTACACACTACAGGAGAATTCTGGCGAAGAGTGTGTGTGTTATATTACCAAGATCCATCTGAAGAACCATATGGTTGTACACACTGGTGAGAAGAATTTTAAGTGTGAAGAGTGTGGTAAAAGTTATCACAGAAAGAACGACCTGAAGAGCCATATGGTTGTACACACTGGTGAGAAGAATTTTAAGTGTGGAGAGTGTGGTAAAAGTTATCACAGAAAGAACGACCTGAAGAGCCATATGGTTGTACACACTGGTGAGAAGAATTTTAAGTGTGGAGAGTGTGGTAAAAGTTATTTCACAAAAACCCATCTGAAGAGCCATATGGTTGTACACACTGGTGAGAAGAATTTTAAGTGTGAAGTGTGTGGTAAAAGTTATTCCGTAAAGCGCTATCTGAAGAAGCATATGGTTGTACACACTGGTGAGAAGAATTTTAAGTGTGGAGAGTGTGGTAAAAGTTATTTCACAAAAACCCATCTGAAGAGCCATATGGTTGTACACACTGGTGAGAAGAATTTTAAGTGTGGAGAGTGTGGTAAAAGTTATCCCAGAAAAGGTGAACTGAAGAGCCATATGGTTGTACACACTGGTGAGAAGAATTTTAAGTGTGAAGTGTGTGGTAAAAGTTTTTCCAGAAAAGGTGAACTGACGAAACATATGTCTTTACACACTGGTGAGAAGAATCTTACATGAAAGTTGTGGGGAAAGATCTTACAGAAAATGATGTGGAAAACTGTATGGTCTTGCATGCTGGTAGGAACTATTTCAAGTATAAATACTGTAATCGATTATAACATGCTCTTCAAATTCCTGGGGTTAGGTTCTCAAAATGGCCACGAATAACATTTGCTGACCCTGGGGGAGGGGGCGGTACATTTATACTGTACTCATGTGCAAAGAAATTTATATTTCCTTTATATGTTTGCCTTTACGACAAAAACCTGGAACGTCAATGTGGCATTTAAAAACTCATGCACTGTTAAACAAATGTTAAACAAGAACTCCCCCAACAAGCATTTATAAGGTTTCTTGCAAGGAATGTAATATGTTTTACTTAGGCCAGACAGGTAAAGATCTTGTAACTAGACTTAAACAACATAAATATACCGTAGTGTTAGGACAGGCCAGGAATCCAATGCTCTGTTTGTTTATTTGAGGGATAATAAGCATTGCATTGACTGGGATAATGCCTCCTCATATTACCTTGTAATTCAATTGACAGTAGGAACATTATAGAATCCAGTCTCATTAAACATACCGAATCCGTCAACATGAATTTGAGTAATGGTATGTACAAACTGGATAATTTCGTAATTAAGAAGATTTGTAACCAGGTGAGAAGGTTGGGTCATCTTACCATCTGACCTGACTACCAACTGCTGCGGTGCTTTTTGAAGATTAGTGGGGTCATTACCTAATACCTGACCATTGTGGACTTCATCTCACCCTCCTATGTATATACAGGGTGTCCCATAGGTTTCCATACAACGTATCACCAACGCCATTACAAGCATAACTCCAGCTGTGCTTGAACGTGTTCTTCAGCAGTGGAGGACACACATTGAAGAGTGTTTTCAACAGAATGGTAGTCATGTAGAGCATATTATATAAATAAAAGTGGATTTTCATATAAAATTTATTTTTCCTCTGTATGGAAATTTATGGGACACCCTGTGTATATATATATATATATATATATATATATATATATATATATATATATATATATATATATATATATATATATATATATATATATATATATATATATATATATATATATATATATTCAGAAATTTCAGATTAATTTCAAATGCCCCGCCATTAGCGATACTGAGCGTTCAAGGTCATCTGAGGGGAGAGAGCGCTGCCTGCTCATAGCGAGAGATTGCAGAACTAGGCCTATATGATATTAAATGTAATTTACCGAATTAATAATGATGCGATTCATGAAGTAAGGGACTATTATTGAATTTGAAATTATTATAGATCGTTTATCAGTCTGAATAATGTTACGGGTGTCCCAAGGAGTTATTAGTTAGGCGGAAAATATGTCACGTAGGCCTAAGCTAACGCCTTGAGAGGACGCGACGCTGGCTGGCCCTCAGTCACGGGGAGGATTCATACAAAACAAGACGTCCCGCGCTGGCAGAAATAGTCACGCGGCCTAGTCACTCAAAGGCGCTATTGCCGTGATAACAAGTAAGTTCCATGCTTAACTCCAGACAGGGTTAGATAGGGCAGTGGTAAGTAAAACTGCAGCCAATAGTGAGTCTATTTCAGGTTTCCGCTAAAACCCACTTTGACTGGAGTTGACCGAGTTGACTGGCGAGGAGATTGACGCTTGAGACTGCCGTTGATGATTGAGGGTGGCGCATTGTCGCCATTGGACCGATCAGTGTAGGCCTGTCACTGTTTAGCGGGGTAGCAAAGGATCTCTTGAGTGAACGAGTGCTCCCGACAACTAAAACGACGGGACCAGCATCCACAGTGGGTGATCAGTTCTTACCACTCGGGTGCACAACACCACATGTCCCGAGCAGCTTAGTGAAACCCTCTTGCTAACGGGAAGCTAAAGTTTTTCTCAACTGTACAAGGTCTGATTGGCTCACTCCCTTCCGCTTTATGGACGCACTGGGAGTACACTGAGGCTATCTGAGTAAACTAATGGTCACACACTGAGACCGTGAGTCTAGGTCTCTAGGAGATACCTAGAGGAACATCTTCCCTCCCTTATTACGGGTGTAGTTAACACCATTCCTCAGACTGATATTATCTTGACGTGTGTAGTTTAATAGTCCTAAATAATTTTGATAATATTGTTTTTGAATGTTTGTGCCATTAAGTGGAACCAGAGTGATACTGTGATTTGATTCTCAATGAGTGATTGTTGCACCAAACCTATGTTTCAGAATTATGTCACATATAACAGCAAGTACACCACAGACCTCGTGGTACCACCGCATTCCAGGTTGACACACCTCAGGTCGACCCTAGGGACTTGACTTTGCCCGCTAATGACGTGAGCCGGTGACCTACAACCGCACCTAGCCAAGACACCTGGCCAGGACCACACCTGCACACAATTATCCAGATCAAACCAGTTTAGTGTTAATTGTTAGAGGTCAGAAGCCGGCTGGGCCGACCCCATATAAAGGCCCTACAGTCTCGTCCACGGGCATTACCATTCCATTCGGGATTCCATTACGATTCTCATTCTGGTTGCTGTCATCTCTCTCCCGTTCGGGTCGTCACTCGGTTCACTAAGCAGAGTCACGCACGTCCCCTCCCCAGGTCGGGAGGGAGACCTCCCGACCAGACGGCATCGCCAGCTAAGCAGACTCTCCCTGTGATGGAGGCAGCCCAGCCAAGCATTCACTGGGCCTACGTCAGGGTACACGTGAGTCTTGTCAGAACGTCCTAGGGTGAGTTACCTACTGTGGGAAGTGTATTCATTCAGGTGTGTCCGAGAGTCAGTGTCAAGTAACGTAAAGCATGATGTGTTAGTACCCCGATATAATAGTGATATTAATGTGTCCATGTCATTGAGTGAAGTAATAAATAGTTGTATCAAGAGGTGTTTAACAAGTTGTCCCTTTAAGAAGTAATATATGTGTATTAACATACGAGATAAGATAAGCGTAGTGACGCTGTGCAAATAACATCCAGGCCACGCTACCAAGTTTCCTATCTTTACATTCCTAGACTCTATACTCTCTCCTATATATATATATCTTCCTCTTCTCTGTTTATTCTGTCTCATTACATTGGTGGCAGCGAACTATGACGTTAACCCACGCTCCGCGTCCCTTGCTATTGGTAACAGTGTACTTAACGTAAACCCATGCCTTCCCCCGTTAGCCATAACACCTGGCTCGTTAGTTCAAAAGTGCGTAATAAGAAGTTCCTGCGTAGTAGCGTGAAAAGTGTCCTAGTGTGTCACCGTTACAGCTCAAGTAAATGTCTCTTGTGGTGGTATGTGCGAATTTTTAATAGAAATATGTTCAGTGCTTAACGTAATTTCTCAGTGTCACCCGCTATCTGTGGCATTCTCAGTAGCCCCAGGGCAGTTTGATTGTTGGTCAGTGTTGAATGTAGCCATTATGTTTCAGTGATGAAAGCGGTGTCTGTACTAACTGTTATAACTTAACATGTCTTTTAACCTACATCCTCCTCCCCTTCCTAATCCTTACCTCACCCTCCTTACCCTTCCTCCCATCC